TATGAGTTTTCTGGTAGAATTTTTCACATCTCTTATGCATAGTATCATATCCTCTGCAAAAAGGGTATTTTAACCTCTGCTTTTCCAATTATTGCTCTTTAACTTCCTTCTCTTGTTTTATTGCTGTAGCAAGAGTTTCAAACACTATATTGAAAAGGAGTGGAGATAGTGGGCAGCCTTTTCTGGTTCCTGATCTTAATGGGAATGCTTCCACTTTTTCTCCATTTAGAATAATATTGATTGTGGGTTTGTTGTATATAGCTTTAATTATGATGAGGTTTGTTCCCTCCAGTCCAATTCTCTCTAGGACTTTGAACATAAATGCATGTTAAAGTTTGTCAAAGACCTCTGCACCTATTGAGATGACCATGCAGTTCTTGTCTTTGAATCCATTTATATGATTTATGACATTTATTGACTTACGTATATTGAACCTCCCTGCATCTCTGGAATAAAGCTGACTTGATCATGGTGGATGATCTTTTTGATGTGTGTCTGTATGCGGTTTGCAAGTATTTTATTGAGAATTTTTGCATCTATGTTCATTAAGGATATGGGTCTATAGTTTTCTTTTTTGGTTGTATCTTTACCTGGCTTTGGTATTAGAGTGATGTTGGCTTCATAGAAGGAATTTGGAAGTTCTCCCTCCATTTCTATCTTTTTTAAGAAATTAAGTAGTGTTGGATGTAGGTCCTCTTTAAATGTTTGATAGAATTCTACTGTAAATCCATCTGGTCCTGAGCTGTTTTTAGTCAGGAGGTTTTGTATTACTGTTTCAATTTCCTTATGTGTTATGAGTCTGTTTAAACTTTTGATCTCTGTGTGGTTTATCTTTCATGATTCCCATGATTTTAGATACACGTCCATTTATTTTAGGTTTTCAAATTTAGTAGCATATATGTTTTTAAAGGCTTCCCTTATAATGTTCTGTATCTTTTTGTTGTTTGTTGTGATGTTTTCCCTTTCGTCTCAGATTTTGTTGATTTGGATTTGCTCTTCCTTTCTTCTGGTTAACTGGGCTAAGAGTATGTTTATCTTGTTTATTTTTTTCAAAGAATCAGCTCTTGGATTTGTTGATTCTTTGTATTCTTTGTTTCTATTTCATTAATTTCTGCTCTGATTTTTGTTATTTCTTCCTGTGTGCTGGGTTTATGTTTCATTTGTTGTTGTCTTTTAAGAGTCTTGAGTTGCAATGTTAAGGCATTTATTTGTGCTCTTTCTGATTTGTTTAATATAGGGACTTAGAGCTGTAAACTTTCCTCTTAAAACTGCTTTTAAAGTGTCCCAGAGGTTTTATTGTGTTGTATTGTCCTTTTCATTTAGTTACAGGAATACTTTTATTTCTTCCTTAATTTCTCCTTTGACCCATTCATTAGTCAGGTGTGTGTTGTTTAATCTCCATTAGTTCATGTTGTTACTAGGGCTTCTTCCGGTATTGATTTTAAGCTTTATTGTGTTGTGGTCTGATAGAACACAAGGAATTATTTCAATTTTTTAAATATTTGTTGAGGCTTGTTTTGAACTCCAGTATGTGATTGATTTTGGAGAAAGTCCCATGGGGTGCTGAATAGAAAGTACATTCTTTGGTGCTTTGGTGGAATATTCGATAGATGTCTGTTAGGTCCATTCAGTGTATAGTACCATTTAATTCAGATATCTTTCTGTTTAATCCTTGTCCATTTAACCTGTCTAATGGAGACATTGGAGTATTGAAGTCCCTTAATTTTAGTGAGTTGGGATTAATCTGTGTCTTAAAGTCCTGTAGTACTGTTTTTATGAAGTTGAGTGCACCAGAGTTTTGTGTGTATATGTTCATGATTGTAATATCTTCTTGGTCAATTGTTCCTTTGATCATAATGAAGTAGCCATCTTTATCTCTCCTGATTAGTTTTAGTTTGAAGTCTGTTTTGTCAGATATTAAAATTGCAACTCCTGTTTCTTTCTTAGTGCCATTACTTGGAATATTTTTTTCCATTCTTTTACCTTAAATATAGTGCCTGTCCTTGAAGGTCTGATGGTTTTCTTGCAGACAACAAAAAGTTGGATTTTGTTTCTTAATCAATTCAACTAGCCTGTGTCTTTTGACTAGGAGTTCAGTCCACTGATATTTAAAGTTACTATTAGACGATGTGTCTTGGTTCCTTTCATTTTAATTTCTGTATATAATATTGATCTAACTGTATGTTTCAAAGGCTATACCTTCATTTAGTTTCTTTCTATTGCCTCTTAAGTATAGTTGTTCCTTTCTCTTCAGCTTTGTATTGAAAGTTGGGGCTGAGGAAAGCCTGTGAATGCTCTAAGAAACTAGACCGAAGAATTGAGCTGGTCTGGGTGCAGGAGATCAAGATGCATTGGGCGGGTCTGGACTAAGAGGGCAGTCCAGAGATCTGGGGTACTAAGAACAAAAGCAGGCCTGTGCCGAAGGGTAGTAGGAGAACAGGATGTGGTGTCAGGGAGATTGGATTTGCTCAGATTGTGGGGGAGTCAAGGCACAGTGGTCAAGATCAGGATCATATTTTCTATACGATTCTTCCCTTATTTGTTACATTGCAAGCAGAAAATACAATTAATTCCAACAAATCCCAAGAGGTCAACCCTAAGCATAAGAACATATGTACACACAAGCACATCTAAATGGAGTCAGTGCAATATATATATATA